AAATATTCTGCTCTATGTTCGTTTGCTGAATGACTCAGAACAGGCCCTCTCGAGCCGAACAAGTCATGATATCTGAGCTTGATAAAACATTCTCCACTCAGGGTCCACTTACTGGCTCGCTGTGCAGCTTTCGACCATATCAAGACCATTCATTTGCTCAGTTGTAGAACTGAATGTATCAGTTGATTAATCAGTTAGTTGATCTACAGAAACGTCATCAGCAACTATTTTGATAATCAATCAATCGCTTCAGTCATTTTTCAAGCAAATTGTGAATAAATGCCAAACATTCTCTGGCCCCAGATTCTGACACGAGAAACTTTTCGTTGTTTTCTTTCATTGTGAACTGAATGTCTTTGGGTTTTTGACTTGAACAGAACAAGACAATTGTTGTCGTGTTTTCTGTCTATATTTCAACGGTTGCAATCCAGTAAAGACAACATGCCAAAAAAATAATCTTTCAAAAAAAATTGGCGCTAGTTGAAAACTGTGTCCAGAAATAGTGAATGAATAAATCTTAGGTTGAGATTGAATTTCAACAGCAGTAAGCTAACATGGGGCAAGGTTGTAGTAATTCTTGGAGTCAGTTAACAGTGCAGTAACCAAGAGTTCAAACTAAAGAGTCAAACTGGCTGTGAAGGCAAATTTATAAAATATCATTCCTTTAACCACTCAAACCCAATCACATTAAAACTGTGTCTTCAATAATCGTCTGCAGTCATGCATGCGTAGGCGAAAATTGCATTTTTTAAAGTGTCCTCTGCCAGAGTGCTGTGTCTACCATCTGTGTGGCGTGAGGCAGCTTAGCAAACAAGTACACCCTCCAGATACAACTCTAATACAACAACAACAACAACACCAACTGTGAATAAGGCCAATGAAAGTCCTTCCTCGTCCTCCTTCCCTCTAGGAAGAGAGGCATCAGCTGCAGCTCCACCCTCCCGTTGCCGGGGACAGCAGCACCCTCAGGCTCCGTGACAGCAAGTCCCGCCCCGGGAGCGTCACGCCAACCATGAGGGTGAGTTTGTCTGTTCAGCTCATGCACATTATGTATTCATCAAAACGAGCCTCCTTCCAGCCAGAAGGGCTCACTGGGCTGAAGCCAACTTCTGTCTCTGTAGCACGAGGCAGTAAAATGTTCCAGTTCACCCACTGGACAGATCACCAGTGTGTCGTAATGCTGTGTGCCCTCTGTGTCCATCACACTGCTTTTAACTACATTACATTTGGCTAACACAGATACAGACTTTGCAGATCATCCATATTTACAAAGTCAATATCTTTTTTTAACTTCCAAAACAAAACTCAACTTTTTATCTAATTCAGACAGCACATTGAACAAATCTGCTTTTCTTCTTCCAGATTGACGTATTGTCCAGTTTCAACAGTACGATCTCAGCTGGGAATATAGATAAATAACTGATATCTGATCTATATACATATTATATCTATAATTCTGAGCATCATATACATTTTTGTCGATGTTATTTTGTCATTGTACATAGTATTGGTTTAGTAACAAAATTTCGTTGTGTGCGTTCTGATTTATGTCATAATTAAAATAAAACAGACCAAACTCCATTTTGAGAACTGTAACACCAACATAAAATCACCTGTGTGTCACTGTGTGCTCCTGACAGAGGAAGCGTGTGGAGTCTCCTCCCCGTGTCACCAGCATCCCCAGCGCCGGTACTTATGACAGGAGCATCTTCCTCCCCCACTCCTCCTCATCGTCTTCCTCCTCCTCTTCCGTCCATCAGCACTCCTCCTCAACCCTCCCCCACCAGTCCACCTCCCACCCTCAGACCTCCGCCCACTACTCCACCTCCTCTCTTCCACACAAGCACACTTCCCTCTCCCTCAGCCAGCATTCCTCCCCCTCCCTCTCTCGCTCCACCAGATCCCGGACCTCCTGCATCCCTCCAACCCCAGCACCCACCGCCCCGCTCCCCGTCTGCCCGTCACCGCAGACTGGTATCCGATATGTGTCCCCCTCCTGCCAGGAGCCCCATGCACACCTGCAGGCCCAATCAATCAGGTATGGACATTTTAATGTCTTGGTAGTAATGTTACACATCTAAAAAGAAGGAAAAGCTGCACAGTCATAACTCTGATGGATTTATTTCAACTTACTAAGACTGAGATTTCAGCAGACTGCCTTCTACAGAATAAGATACCACAGTTATGATTGTATTTTCTTGTCTATATATGTTTATGTGTATTTTGTGTTAGATTTGTAGTTTTTGCCTTTGCCTTTTTTTCCATAGTAACTGAATAGATGTTTAGAATTCATTTCACTTTTTTAATTTGATCTTTAACAGGGTTTCTGTAAGAGTTCATCAAATTAAATTTAAGGCTTTTTAAGATATTTTAATAGAACATAACATGCCATTTAATACCTGTTTCATGTGAGTATGTAATGATATGATATAAAACCAGTAGGGACAATATGGCCTAGAATTTATAAAATCATATTTTTTCAGTACTTCCCTGCATTATATAACATTAATCCCCAAAGATATAACTAATTAAATTAATGTGACCCATCTCAGATAAGCTGCATAAAATGGACGGATGGATTAACCAATTTAGAATAATTCATTCTTTTAAGTAATTATATGTTTTTGCTAAAACCAACACGATGAACCACTGTAGCAGCGGTAGTGACAATGTTTGCTGCAGGTCTGATGGTGCTGACTGAAACTTCACACAACATGATTTAACAGCCTCCTGCAGCACAATCCCCTGTCGCACCAATCTCCCTCGTAGTTTATAGATGTAAAATGTCTCCTGACATCCCGCAATCAGCTGCAAGAAAAGTTACAACCGGTGTTACCGTCTGCAGCAGCAAAGAAAAATATATTGGAGACCTTTGTAAATTAAGTTTAGGACTCCATTTCTCATTCACTTCTAATGAAGCCCTTATGACACACATATCCAACTATAACTAGCTAACTAGTTTTTTCCAAGTATGATTAACAGATGTTCTGAACAGATGTTATTCTTCTTTTACAGATTTAATGTGAATATATTTTAATTGTCTCCACTAGGAGTTATTATCTGTGTCCCCCACTTTTATATTCTCTTTGATATGTTTGTGCTGATTTCCTTGTCATAGCTATCAATACATATTTTAGCCAGTTGTTGGTTTGTATTTGCTTAGACTTGAGAATAGAGTTATGAGTGTGCAGCTTTCCCATTTTCATTTGTGTTTAATGCTTGCACCTCACTCGGTGTGTTTCTCCTTTTTTTTTTTTTTTTTCAAAATAAGTAAAATGTTCTGAAACTTAATATTCAAGTGTATGTGTGTGTCTCTTGTGTTTTGTAGGGGCCCGTATCTGGAGCCGAGGGGGACAGAGGGGCTGAGGCAGGAGTGGTTCACCAAATACTTCTCCTTCTGAGCACAAACACAGACATGAACACACACACAGCAGCTGCAAGTACATCTCCTCGTATACAGTTCATTGCTTCTTATACACATCCGTTTGCTTCCACACATACACACACACACACACAAAATAATTATAACAGACAGACACACACACACCCAAACAGACATAACAACATTAACAAACATATGGGCTCATCACCAGCAAGGCCATCTCAAATGTCACCTCAAAGCTCAACCAAAAAGTGCTTCTCAAACACATGCCTGACCTCTTCTCAGAACATAGGCCTGCCGGATCTTGTTTGTATAGTTGGGAATGTCTCCATATGTGTTTTTTTTAAAGCAGTCTTCCTTTTTTTAATGCAACTTTTGCTCTAATCTCATCACATGGTTATTCCAGGCAAATGTACATTTCCTAAAATCTACAACCAAGTGTGTCTTTGAGTATGGAAGCATTCGACATATTCAATCAAGATCCTTGTCAAGACGGACACACACGACTCACCATACCAAAATGAAGCTTGTTTCAATGCAAAAATGTATAATAATCTTAATGAACAAATTGAATAAAATATTTTGTTTTTGTATGTGCCTCTTCTTTGTATGTGGGTGTAACTAAGAGCAGAAAGAAACACAACCCTAAGGATCACAAGCAAATTATATAATTGAAATGAATGTGGTAAAAAGTGTACGTGGCCCCTGAGCTCAAAATGTTACCTACAGTATATTAGAGGTGGGTCACATGCATAAAAATTACAATATTCTTGTTTGAAAGTCAGAGCTCAGTTAATAGACTACAAAGACAGGCAAAACTTTCTAAAAGAAACACAAAACCACCATCACCCTTTCAGCCACCACTTAAAAAATAATTATATATATATATATATGAATTATATATATGAATTATATTAATTTTATATAATGAAATTGATGTGAACTGTCTTGGATAAGCTTCATAAAATAAACAGAGGGATTAACCAGTTAAAAAAGATTTATTCCTTGAAGTTTTAAGTTTTTTTTCTAAAATTGAGTTACTGTTTATGGCAGGCAAGTTAAATCCCCAATACCCAAAATTGAATTCTATGTCTTTTGAGATTGTTTCCTGCAGATATACTTAGATGGAAATGTCTGTTTTTGGCTGATTCATCAAATTAAACACCAACCATTATACACCAACACAATAAGATAGTATTTGCTGATATAGTTGCCATCATCTAGTCTATTAAATGTCAGAAAGAAATGCTCATTACCATTTCTCAGAGCCCAAGGTGATGACTTCAAATACCTCATTCAATCAACACCAGAGACCAGAGATTCAGTTTACAAAGATTCAGTATAAAACCGAAAGAAGCTGCAAATCCTCACATCTTAGAAGCTAGACCCAGAGAATATTTGGCATTTTTGCTTAATAGATGAAGATGATGAGTCAGTGATTAATTTAAAATGGATTAGTCATTTAAGCACTAATACAGATTGCAAAAATCGTGAGCACAATACCACTTTAAGACCGTTAAAAATCAGATGAGAAATTTATTAAGAATATTTCTTTCTGCATTTATACTTACGATGCATAAACATGAATTAATGAGTTAAAAAAAAAATGCAGCCTATGCAAAAACAGGTATAAATAAGCTCCATTAAAAACACATGAATAGATAACTTCCACATGGTAATTTTAATCACCTTTGTCAAATGACAGTTCTGCACACACTGTACATTAAGTGACCTCCATCTCTGTCATTGTGTTACAAAGGAATCAATAACCGTCTTTACATATCAGAGGTCATAAGGAGTGACCGGCCGACTGCTGACTAAAGGAAGCTGACTTACGATGATCCACATGCATTGTACCTCCTTCATACTAATAAACAGTCTCTAGCCGAGCTTCTTCACACTTCATATGTTCGGAGCTCACATACTACTGAAACATGGGGTAGTTGTGCAGCGCCTCAGTGGCAGAGCTGTACTGGAGGATGTTGTCATAGAAACGAGTGAGCTCCTCTCGCGTGTCCTTGGCACCCCTCCCTCCTGAGCCCCGGTACTTCATGGAAAGCAGCTTGGAGCACAGGTAGTGGAGCCACAGCACGTTGGTATGGGGGTGGAAGTCATTCCAGTTGTTTCTGACACAGACGAAAAAAAAATGCAGCAGGGGATCATGAGTCTGAGATGTTAAATTAATACTGTAAATTAGAAGGATTATCCATAAGAGGAGTGATCGTGCCTGTTTGAACAATGGCTTGACATGTTGGAAAATATACTTATTAGAAAACCACACTCATACCTGTACAGTAAATACTAAGCTACATGCAGGAGGCAGTTAGCTTAGCTTAGCATGAAGCCTGGAGGAAGGGGGAAAGAAGGTAAAAATCCATCTACAAACACCCTCAAAGATGAGTTGTTATTAACACAGTATATCTCCATAATGACTCATTGTTTTTACACACTGGTTTTTGAGCTTTAGACGTGCTGGCAGGTGATTTTTAGGCCAGCTGTTTCCCTGTTTCTTGTCTTGATGCTAAGCTAACAATCTGCTGGCTTAAACAGACAGATATGAGAATGGTATTGATCCTCTCCTCCAACTTTCACCAAGCAGTTGCATTTTCTGGATGAAAATGCCCATCATACCAACCACAGATCCATCTTATCATAAGAAAAGCCTTATTGTTTGAAATCTCTAATCAGCTGCTTTTTCTTTCTAGGCATCATATTGATTTGCCAAAGTCAAATCAATAAGAAGTCTACTGGCTCTGTTATCCCTCTTGTTATGTGTTTAATCAGATAAAGTTCTTTTTACGTGCGTATGATTAATCTGCTTAATGTGACACCTTTACAGTACAGAGATACTCCAGTTAAATGTCACAGTGAGTGTTTCTGAATTAGTCACATAAATACACTGACCCATTCTCCTGTCTCATCAGTCTGTAGATATCAAACTGGTAATCTCCCTGGCCCATGAAAAGCTCCTCGTCCTTCGAGATGTCACAGGACACCGTCAGATCATCTGGAGGCAACAAAACATGCGCTGAGTATTCATTCATTAAACAGCTGCATGTATTTTGCTCATAAAACAAGTCATTCAAAATATGACAGGGAGTAGAAACAAGGGAGGGGGAAAAATATCTGACCGATCTCTAGTCTGGAGAGAGAGTAGTCAATGATGCGGACCAGCACTCCCTTGGTTTCCAGAGAGTGGGCCGTTCCATTCAGGAGGAAGCTCCCCTTCTTCTGCCTGGTTGTTTTGACCAGCACATTGCCCCAGTGGAGGTCCCTGCAGTAAACAGCACAGGGGGGATGAAAGGTCCAGTTACAAGACACCATCATATTATCCATTACACTGACACCACGCACACGCACACACACCCACGCTACATGCGTCACTGAGTTGGCTTAGATACTGAATGCCACATTTCACACTCACTGTGGCAGCTGGAGTTTAAGTTGCTCAAATTTAACATGTACAACTGCAAGACAGTTTCATAGTATTTGTTGTTGTATATTGTAAGACAAATATTTTTCAGAATATCAGTGTTGTTGAAGCTGTTTTTATGTGTATTTGTGTATTAATACAAAGTTGTGGTTATGCTCTCATGCCACAGGTCATGCATGTATGCCTTGATCTGCATCAGGTCTAGCGATTCACAAAGAAAAACAACAATCATTCAAGTCATTCTTTTGAAGCAAAAACACTAAAATTCACTGGCCCCAGCTTCTCAAACGTGGATTCCATCTTTCATTTTACACGATAATTACCTTATGGACTTATCGTACAATATATACAATCTGTAACTACAATTTACAGATGTGCCCTAAACACCTTACATGCAGACGATCTGTAAAGGGTACAAAGTACTGATGTGACCTAAAGACCTCACTGGTGGCTGTGCACAGAGAAGCCTCTTGTCCCCACTTAGTTACTGCAGCACAGGCAACTCAGACAGGTGTGTGGCCAAACTGAGTCAGTTTGACAAGAGTGAAATAAGGCGTTAGATTGAAATGGAGCCATTTTATCTACGTGGGCAGGACTTAATCTACCAACAAAGTAGAGCCGATGTATGAGAAACGCTTTTTAAAATTATTATTCCAATTCCACTATCTCAATATTCTTATTAAACGTTCATTGCTCTTTGAGAGGTTATACTCACATTATGGAGCTGTATTTCTACTAGTGGGTCCCTGCTTTGTTCATTTCAGATGACAATACACAGTCCTACCAATGGTGTCGCACTATTCCACTGATCAACATGTGGCGGTAAAGCGGCAAGATGTGCTGTAACATTGCAGCAAAGGCAGGTAAGAAGAAGATCGCAAGCTTGTAAAAGCATGGATGTAAACGATACAGAATTTAAAACACTTAAGTTCTCTTATGAGGAAGGAAATGCACTGGACACATTTATTTTTTTTTTTAGAGCTAAGGGATTCACACTTGCATTTTGGTGAGTCACACCGAGTATAACCATAACTTCTGACTTTTTCTCAGTGTGAACAAGGCCTGATGCATGAATACAATCACAGCAGTCTGAGTTCTGTGTGTGTGTGTGTGTGTGTGTGTGTACCTGTGTTCAAAGTGTAGCTCCTGCTCAGCCACAGCCAAGGCAGCAGTAACCTGATGAAGGATGCTCTTTGCCACCCCTATAGACGCCAGCTTGATAACACAAGAGAGTTGAATTATAAAGTGCATTTGTTCTTCACTAGAGCAATCAAACATTTCATAGGTTTAGAAAATACATGTTGCAACGTTGTTTTCCAGTTATTACACAGCATTTGCAAAAGCTAAGTGTAGCATCTTCTTACAGATTTGTCTCTAGCATACATATTTAAGCTCCTCCTGACATAAAGCTGTAATGACTCAATTCAAGACACTATTATTTTTATGACTGCAGTCTCTTCATTAATGTTTGAGCGCATCTTTACAGCTGGCCTGCAAGTGTAATGAGCTAAAGCTAGTGTAATGACAGTGGGGTGTAAAGTGTAATGCTTCTGTTTGATGACAGTACTCGAAATTCTGTTCTGAGCAGTGACTGACATGACCGATGAAGGTTTAACATCACAACAAAACACTGTATAGCACACAGGGGGAGGTATTAAGCAGTCGTTATTGTGATGTGGTGCAGTGTGCGTACCGTTCCATTGCTGTTCTCTAGATCGATGCCTCCAAACTCAAACTCCAGGATTATGAATAACTGATCCTTTTCAAAGAAATCTGTGCAAAGAGGGACACAGAGGGAACCAGTGAAGTAGATAAGCAACCTGGTCCTGTAAAATGTTGTGTTGGACCTTGTTTAATAGGGCCTTGATGGGGATTAAAATATAAATCTATTTTAATCACAAACCATCCCATGATAGACATGCTTTTGTCTCACTGACCTGGTCTGTCATTCTCAGAGCCTTTCTTTTGGTCAAACGTGTCCCAAGCATTCAGGAAATCTGGAGGGTAGCAGCCTTGAACGCAGTGGAGACTGTGAGGGAACAACACATCAAGTCACATTAACACTCAAAACCGCTGAGACGCTTACAGACAAAAAGACAAAGGACCAGAGGGAGTGCTTACTCATTGAGTCCAATAAAGCCGCGAGTCTGGTTGTGCTGCTTCTCTTTCAGGCTGCTCAGCTCCCTGGCAGATGAAAATAGACAGTGCAGTTTAGTTAGCAATGGCCGGGCATCACTAAATGAAAACACTCAGACCTTATGAATAGGATTACACCTCTGGTGTCACAACTTCTCTCATGCACATATGCTAGTGTCTGTCCCGGCAAATGGAGCGGACTGATGTGCAGTGTTAGTTTGTACTGAGTGTACCACTTACTTTGAGATAATAATCTCATGGAGAATCTCTCCAAACGTCTTCTGGTCCTCTCCGTTCACCTTCTCACTGCCCTCTACTGGAATTATCTGTCAAGACAAGAACCACTGTTTCACTGCAGAATATACACATACGGTACAGGCATTGAACATTTATGACATTTTTTTTAATTTATCATTGAACTATGTGGTTTGTTAGCATTTGACAGGCCTAAACAAAACTCTATATAGGATTATGTTGCCATGGTGCTATTTCTAATGTATCATAACATTACTGAGTGCTCTGGAAAAAAGCAGCAGAATATTCTATGACATAAAAGTTGTTTGTACGAATAGTTACCTTAAAAGTATAACAAATGTACACTTGTGATGCAGTATGGGTTATATCATACACCATAAACACACAAACACACATACTTTGAGAGCAACAGTGTCTCCTGAGGCGTTGGTGGTGGAGAAGACCTCACCGAAGGTCCCCTCCCCAATCTTAACACACTGTTTCATACGGTGAGGGAGAATGCACTCCTCCCAGGGCAGAGGTTGCTGCTGGCAACACTCAGCACACACCTTCTCTTCATCCGACAGATCTGCATCCTCACACACAGGCTGTAACAAAAGACAGGAGACAGGTGACGTGTATTGACACATTCAACAGTCAGTACTTAGAAAGAAAGTGGTACAAGCTTGCTCTCTATATTAAGTGTTTGTTAAATATTGGACATATTTCAGTGGGTCTGTGTGATGGGACAGACGTGTTTCCATTTCAACCAGTGCAGTTGCCTGTAATGGCTTGTTCTTCAGCTTGTGATTTACTGGTGTAACTGTACTCTCTGCACCACTGGTGTACACAAGGTGTCAGGTCAAATGAGTAGTACAGATGACAGTCCCTCATCATCAGGTGCAGTTAGGCAACAATATGCCAGTAACAGCAGTGACTGAAAATTCCAGTAATTATAAGGACAGTCAAATTTAGTTGATGATTTGTCACTAGTTGGTGTGTAATCCCTCGTGTTGAAATTTCATTGGCCAGAGTGACATGTGTCATAAATATTAAACATGTTTGATAACACCTCAGAAAAGGTTGTAAACTAAAGCAGCGGGATCTTCTGCACAAACCGCAGCCTCCAAAATCATCATACAGCTGAATCAATTGGGATTTATTATAGGACTGTTGTATTAGACTGATTTAGTTCTAGCTAAGTGCAGTTAATAAACTGGCAACAGAGTGTATGTCTGTCTCTTATGACTCCTTAATAGTAGCAGATGTGTACCATGTGTTGTACCAGAGAACTATGGTACAGCTGTGACTGGAGACGTTTATGGAGCGGCGTCCGCAAGGGTGTGGCAAAGAGGTCCTGGCTGACGTCTGCAAGAGCCGTCCTTCCAGGAGAGCCTGACAGATGTAAACCCCTCGGAGTGAGTAGCACTAATGAGAGAGAACAGAAAAGAGACAGAGACAGTTAGAAAAATGAAAGGTAGGATGGAACGTAAGGACACAGTTATTGAAGTGGCAGCTTTAAATTAAATTTCAAAATGTTAAGTCCTCAACAAGTGGGGGACAAATTACTACTTTGTGGTGTATGTGTGTGTATTACACATGCCTTTGCGGTGAACAGAGAGGGCGGCCTTGAGTCGGCTCCAGGTGTGTGTGTTTGGTGTGAAGTCAGCCAACAGAGACGAGAGGTTGAGCGGACCCGCTCTCACCGGGGTGGAGAAATTCATGGCTGTTCCAACCTCCTACAGACAGGATGGAGTGAGAGTCAGTGATGCCACAGCTCCACCTGTGGCCATTTTAAATCCATCCTAACAATTAAGCCTTAATTACAGAAGGGTGGGATTGTAGTGGGAATGAAAACAATACGCACTTTAAACAAAAATCAGTTTGTGTGTGGTGTGTAAGTTGGTCCAAAAACATTTAGTCATACCTTTCCATGCAGATGATTTGGGGTTTTAAAATTTTGTTTGTGGAGTTGACAGCAATTAAAAAATTACTTTAAAAAAATGCAACTCAGCAGAAGGGAGGAAAATGCATCTCAACAAACTGTCCCAGTAATGATGTAATGAACAGTTTTCAGTCACAAAATCATTTCTACTGAGGATAAAAAAAAAAAAAAACACAAAGTAAAGGGTAAGATTGCTTTAATTAACTAAATCTCTGTAACCAGGACATCTGGAAGAACATTTTGAACGCTTTTGAGTGTTATACAATCAAAATCCCATTCACTACCATCTATGAGGGCAGCAGCATGAATGTTAGATGTGAATATCTCAAACATTTAGCAGATGAAACTGAAACTATTTACAAGGGGGTTGATAGCATTTAAGATAAATGGGAAACTTGTCTTCTTTTTTGTCATTTGGGTGAACAAAACCTTCCCTAGAATCTGACTTGAATATGGCATCATGTAGCATCATCACTCATAAACCCTCTCTGTGTCTAAATAAACTTCACATAGTGGATAGACATCAAGATAATGATAAATATTTGACAAATCAGACAATGTTTGAAAATGTAGGCTTTTCATGTGTCATAAAAAATGAAAAAAAAAAAAACCCCACAAGAACAAACATTCCCAGTTAGTGATGCATTTTTGTTAAATATAAGTGTTGCTGAACATCCTCTCAGAAATAGCTAAAAATATTACTGCTATTCTAGAAATATATTCTTAGTAGAAACCTGATGAATTTGATCACAGGTATTGAAGGCTCAAGTGTCACACCAGGAAAAAAAATGTGGTTAATTTTCTTTAATCAAATTGAAAGGTCCGTTGATACCTGACAGCCAAAAACTGCCTCAACGCATAGCTTATTTTGTCTGACAATGGCTAACCAATAATATCAAAACTGTCAATTAATATGCAATCTATCAAATATATGTTTAAAAAAAATATTTAAAAAAACATAAATAAATAAAAAATTTCAGCAGTATTGTGTTGTGTTGTGTTTATGTGCATGTTGTCTCACCCTTGGCTGTTTGTGTTGCATGGAGATCAGCTCATTGATGCTGCAGTCCACAGACTTGGCGCCGCCTGCCCACCTGCTTGTGCTGGCGCTGCCTTTGTTTTTCCAGCGACTCACACTCAGACCGCTCACACAGGCCTTCCTGGTCGTCCCAGGTCTGTCTGCAGATGTGCTCCTCCTCTTCTTTTCTTTTGGAGCCAGAGACTTCTTTCTTCTTTTGGACGGAATGTTACAGGAGCTCTTGACAACTTCTTCTTTGTCTGAGGCAATCCTGTATTCAGAACTAGTTGAGCTCCTCTTTTTTGTATTGACTTTAACAGAAGTGTCTTCATCATGGACATCAGTATCATTCTCAGACTGGTGGTCATTCTCTACCAGTTCATCACTGGCTGAGTCTGACACAACTGTGAAATATTCAAGCTTTTTGTCTTTCAGCTGCAGAATTTCTTTCAACTGTGATGAAGTTACTCTCTTTATCTCAACAGTGGGCTTGTCAGATAGACATTTCTCCTTCAGCATCGTCTTGAGCACCGCTGTCTTTTCTTCTGTTTCTGGATCACTGGACTGTGTCCGGGCTGCTGCACTGCTGCTGTTTACTGACCGTCTAACAGACAGCATCATTCCCTCAGTGGTTTCTCCTGAACATGTGAGCTCTTCTGGGTTGTCGATGTCGTGTGTGTGGTCCTTTTTAGACTTGTCTGCATCTGGATTAACAGACCTAACGTCATAGGTCATACGTGCATTTTTCTGCTTTGTGAACCCTTTGAGTTGTTTAACAGTCGATTGTGATAATTTTTTTAGCTGAATGGCGCATTTCTTAGCAAGACATTTGTCTTTTATTCCTACAACCTCCTCTTCAGTAAACAGTGTTTGTACAGGGCTGGTGGCTGGCAATTGTGTGCCCATGACAAGCTGAACACTGCTCTGTACTGATGCTGGTGAGTACTCAGCTGACTGCTTACAGTCAATTGATGGTAAACTGTCAGTCACTGAAGCTTCCTGTTTAGGAGACTCAAAACTACTTACTGGTTGTAAATAATCTCCGATTTTATTGTTTGTCACAGATAAATGAAGATTAAATGATATTTCTGAAGACTGCAAAAGGTCAGCAGTTTGACTACTCTCCACAGACAGTGAATATTTATTTGTTTGCTGGCTGTGAACTGAGCTTGACAGCCCCAAACAGGATGAGTAGGTTGTTTGACTGCAAAGCTGAGTCACAGTGACGCTGTCTAATCTCTCCAACTGCACTGTGCAGAGCTCGGTCAAACATTTCTCCTTCAGAGCCTCTATCAGCCACTCTAACCCTCCTGCTGCTGACACAAAATCACTGCTGCTTTCACCGTCTGTAGAGAGCAGATTTAGACTTGGAAATTTCCCACCATACTTTGTCTTTGAGTTTTGACTGTGGCTTTTGGCTTCCTCACTACAGCCGCTTCTCTTGTTAGAGCTCTCGGGCCCCATTAATAAATCACCGGAGGGTTCTTCATGGTGATGCAAGTCTGGTTCTTGCTCACCAAGGCTTGACTGCAACTTCTCAACAGAGTGGAGTCCAGTGGGGCCTATACAGCTCACTGACATGGACGGAGAAGTAGAGGACTTATCATTGATGGGAAAGAGTTTAAGGTGTGGACGTTGGCTGAAGGAGCCTGCTGAGGGTGTAGAGCAAAAGATGGGTTTCCGGGAGCAGGGTCCGAGGCTGTGATCTGCCGACTCATTGATGGATATCTCTCGAAGGGGGTTGGTTGCGAAGCTGGAAGTCCCCGCAGCATTCATTGAGTTCTCCGCACTCGACAGCAAAACTGCTGGAAGGACCCTCCTCCTCCTCCTCCTGGAAGGCTGAAGGATACCACTGGAACACAACCCTCCAGACGTAAAGTCATCTGATGAGTTGAGTATACTGACTATTGCTTTAGGGAGTTTGGGTTTGGCGGAAGTCCCACGTCTGCGGCGGGTTACAAAGCGTCCCACAGAACGAGGATGAACACTGAGGAAGGGAAAAAAATTAATAAATAAAAATGCAGAAGAGGAAGAGAGCTAATGGTTACAGAAATTAACCTCCAAACTTCAGTGGGGATAAAGTGAAATTTCCTACCCTGTAACTAATTTCAATGTATTTTTCTGAATGGTTCTTAACAGTATCGCTTCTGACAACCTTTTTGTGATATTTGCAGGTCAGCTCCATTACACTGTAACCATAACAGAATGCATGCTATACATGAGCTGCCAAAAACAATATGACATTAAATATAATCTTCAAATGAAGATCCTCACACCCTTGGAAGAAAAAAACAGCTTCACATTATGACAAATTCAAATTACTCAGCCCTATGTTCTTTATGTGCATTAGGAAGCCCTACTATCAATAAACCCCTGCAACAAAATGGACAAAAGACATTGTCTTCAAAAATCAATATGGTAAATTGTCTTATTATTATTATTATTATTACTATTACTTTAGTTTTGTACAGCGTCACATCCATATTGCAATGGATTGTGGGTACTACAGGCAGACTCTCTGGAAGTCCACAGGAAGTTCACTTGAGCTCCCTTGTGGACAGCCCTCAGCACTCATGGTATTCCTAGGAATGCGCCCGTTAGGTCTGTAAGTGTGGTGAAGTCTGGACATTTGGATTCAGCCTTCTGCTATCTAACAGGAGCACTAAAAACCTGACTGGCTGAGTACTTACTTAGAGTCTCTCTTCATCTGAAATGAATTTTTGGGACATTTTGGTGCAGACATCGAGTCTTCCTCACTCTCGCTGGTCATTAGAACCTGTCGGCCTTTCCGCCTCATCATGACTTCTGGAACAGACATGAGTTGGCTTTTCCTGTTGGCATGCAGAGACAAAAATCATTTCAGAAATACATACAATAAAATACAAACATTAAAATTACTCCTGCAAGTGAGTGATTCCAGGCAAGCACATAGTTGTAAGTTCAAAAGCCCAATTATGCGGATCTGGCCACATAACATGCACAATCCACAACAACTGAAGATAAACATCAGTGGCTTCAACATCATCATTTATCAGTTTTCAGTAGAATTGTATGATGATATAGGAGAAACACATTATATTGCTACTTTGCAAAATTTGGTTGTCTACATTAATATTTTTAAAAATGCTATACATATGATGCTTTTGTATTACATCAGAAAATTAAAAATGTTTAGGTTTGTAGATTGCTGGTCAGACACAATAAACTTGATTTGAACTGCTGATGGGTATTTGTCATTATTTTCAACATTTGATATTAATTTAAAATAGCAGCTGTTGAAGGAAACTGTGATGCTCATGTAATCCATATAGTTAGATAGAAATTGTACATCTAATCATAAGTGCGCACAGAGTGGTGGAAAAGAGAAAGATCACCTTGACCCGCAGAGTAGAGACAGGTACACTATTGTGCCAGCATATTGGTTTTTTCAGAGTTGCTGCTATAGTAGTGACTCAACAATATTTTGGAGTTAGACCAGAGAATCTGGTGTAACTGTGACTCAGCAATGTTTAAGGATTAGACCAATCAGAAATCCCTGTGTAACTGTGACTCAGCAATATTTTAGGCTCAGACAAATCAGGGAATCCTGTGTAAGCATCCCTTAGGAGGAGCATGGTGAGAGAGAGCGTTAACAGAAGAAGAAGAGATTTAGAGATGCTTCACATGCCAGATTTGTACTTAGTACTCTCTATTATCTGGAGAACAAAAACAGTGGGATTCAGTATTAAGTTTCCTGTCCTCCTGTGTCTTTGATTTAGTTCCTACAAACCTTGAAGTGGATGTTTGATCAAATCTGTTGAAGATATCGAAGAAGAAAGAAGAAAATTGACAACACAGCCCTAGATCTGAGATTTAAAATCGCAGCATTCACAATGGAGGTTGGGTATTGAAGCCTGTCAAAACAGTTACAGTATGCTCAAATGCATAAGTCATATGTCAAAAGTCAAATGTCTGTTTACTGATACTGTTATGATAACATAGAAAAGCAAAACAGAGTCACAAAACTCTTTGTGTTTGCATAATGTGTTCTGCTCATGCCTGGCTGTGCACAGACCTGGTCGTCTTGCTCTGCTGAGCCAGCTGAGGGCATGGAGGAGAGGGTCTGCTGATGTTCTCCTCATCACTGTTGTTCTCTGTCAGACATAACACAGCTTTTCTCTTGGCAGGACGGCTAACTCTACCAGTGACGACACAAGACTTCCTCCCTCTAATAATAAGGAAAAAATTAAAACCAACAAATGAAGAGGTTAGAATACTGATTATCGGCAAGTGGTTAGGGAAAAAAACAACAACTGTAAGACATTAAATGTAAATGATGCAAATAATCACAAGCTCTATTTTGCTAATCCTATAATGGACAAAATATTACAAAGCTCCAATCAGTAATGCAAATTAGAGGTATTTGCTTTAGGTAATTCTTGTGTTTAGGGTCTATAATTGGTAAATTATTAACTGTTTATTTATCACAAAATGCACATTAATGAGGTATCTACATCGCTCATAATTGCCCACTGTATGTTTGTTCACAGACCTTGTTTTCTTGCTCTGCTGAGCAGGTTGAGGGTCGGGATGAGAGTAGATGATGACGTTCTCTTCATTGCTGATATTCTCCTCATCCCAGCTCTTCTCTGTCAGACATAGGATTGTGTTTTTCTTGACAGGACGTGCAGCTCTATGAACACCAGCACTGGTTCTTGTGTTTCTATGGCATGAAAAACAGATGAAGACATAAGGAACAGTTGTATGATATTGAATATAAGAGCAAGTAGGTTTTGGGTGTTTTAGTATTTACATTTTGGGGACAGATACAGACAGATGTACTGATTTTGACAGTAGAAAAAAAATATATTGTCACTAGTTGTTTTCTTAATATAATAAATACCTGCCATTAACAAACATTCCTGATAAGGACCAATTAATCTGGTTAGTTAAGGACTTTGACCAAGATACATTATAGTTGAGAAATAAACTTGTCAGTGCTCTGTGGTGGGCAAGCTTTGCCATAGCTACACCATTTCAAAATTTCCCCAAATACATGTTTGGCTTTTCCGTGTGGCTTATTGACTGACATGTGTTCTATGTCAGGTGATATACACTCAGATGGTAGTTTATTGGGTACACCTAGCTAACGAATCCTCCCTCCATCAAGCTTATAATGTTATTGAATTCGTTTCAACTTTGTGAACATTTTGGAGGCTGTAGTTTGTAGTGCTGTTGAACTGCATTATGTTATGTAGAGGTGTTTCTCTTATTTATATTTCTTATTTAGCCCACCTTTACTGATATAAAAAGGGTGGGGGGAAAAAAACAGAAACACTGGTCACTGGGATGCAATACAGTTGTATCTGTGATAAAGCTAAAGCCTGACTAACGTGTTGCTGCAGACATGTAATAACTTGTTCCCTTTAATGTACTGAATGCATCTTGGCATGTAATCCCTGTAGACTTCTCCTAAAACCCAAGTGACTGAGTGACCTTATGACATCAGAGACAGAAATGGGGACATAACAGCACATTAATAGGAAGAACGACAGCCAAGGTGAGAGGACTCTCATCACCTGTCGACTTGAACGCACCTTTTCCTCGCAGGTTCTGCGGGTTCAAAGACGGAGATGTCACCGTCCGTTGAGAGGGTGCTATCGAAGGCCTGCTTGCGGTCATCAGGTGAAATCCAAGCGGTCAGCTGTCGCCTCTGCCTCCCGTATGTCTTCAGAATTAACGGCTTCACTGGCTTCATGTTTGAAATTACAGCTAAAGCCGAGCTACTGTGTCTAACTTGTATTCAACGTGATCGAAAACATTTGGTGTTATTAATCTAGAGACTATGTTGCTATGCTAACAACAGCTGTTAACTGTGATGCCAAAACTGTATAAGCGCCTTCACGATTCATCAACAGTGACCTACTAAACTCACTGTAACTCCATCTCACTAAATAGTCCTTTTAACCCGTTTCCATGAATGAAAGCGATGCATTATCTTTTGCGTCTCCTTTATTATTTTCCAACATGAATCCGCCGCACCCGCTTCTTGTTCAAACCGCTAGACTCGTCGTTGATTGGTCAACAATTGGTGAACGCCATAATACAGTGCCGACTAGCGGATTGGAGTAACAACATCTTGATGCGTTTAAATTGTACATCGGCTAACTTATGGTGGCGAGAGGAGTCAACACAATTCAAAAGCAAAAACACGAACACAACACAAATGCAAAAGCAACAACATGAATGCTAAAGCAAAAGCGCGTATGCAAAAACCACAACACAAATACAGAAGCCACAACATGATTTGTAAGACCAAATTTGTATTAATTTGATTTGTGATGCATTTTGAATTTTACAGGTAAATCATACACACATAAAACAAGATTCCATGGGTCTATGTTTTTTACATGAAAGTGTTGTTGTACTATGAAGAATTATTTTTTGTGTCCCCTGACCAATCTCTCTTTCCTCTTTTTATTAATTGTCCACTTACTTTTCTAATTTTCAAATTTACATTTCAAAATGTATCTGAATTTGATAAGAGGCGTCATTGGTCTGAAGTGGAAAAATGAAGTGGATAGCTTTAAGAGTTACAGCCTTTTAATCCAAAATTCCGTGTTTTTTGTCACTATCCTACTGTAGCTCAGCAGAAAAACACTGCTGACAAAGGAAGTCTACACTGAAGAGACTGTAACTTTAGATGATGCCCACCTGATTTGATTAACTCAAACTGCTGAAGCCTCATATCAGGTTAAGATAAACATCTGAATACATTTTTGCACAAAACCAGGACTATGGATTTTGACCCCATCACTTCCAGTGAAAGTGCATTAAGAAGTAAACTTCGGAAGGTCACGACAAAAAGACCTCCAAGCAAAACCTGTTTCAGTGTTTATATAAATACCTGACTATTGTTTTAAGACAAACTTGAAAGTAGTGTCAGAATATGTGGCCTACCAATTTTGACTTGTGCAATGGTTTTAGGTATTGCACTACAACATGAACTAATATATACGAACCAATTTATGGGCCAGAGTTTGAACGCCATCCCCTCTACATATGACAGACCCAGAAGATAAAAAAACAAGGCAGTAAGTCAGTGTAACCACCAGGTGTCATTATTCTATCAGACTGTACTGGCTTATACTTTATGTGTACAAGCATGCTGTACAACATGAGATATTTACGTCAGTATTATGTATGTTGAAAATTGTATATGTTGCCAAATTTATTTTAGATTTAAAATGTATATAAAAATATTGGAAAATTCATATTCTTTGAAAGAACAGGATGTTGATGACAGTGCAATCTCTTTATTCTTATCAGTGGGCACTTATCAGAAATGAAACAAAACCAAGTAAAGTTACTATTTTATCAGCCCTGTATGGCTGTAATGTAAAACTAGATCAGCCTATATACATAGCACGTGTAAGCAATAAGTGCAAGTACAGCTGTGAAAATACGGTCATTATTATTTTTGTAGGTAAGCCGTCATGAATTTAGAAGTTTTCACCTGCTGATGGCACTAGATTAAAAGTCAAAGCTATAGTAATAAGGATTCATTCAAGGACTACAAATGTCTGTTCTATATTTCATGCCAGTCCATCAAATAGTTATTAAGACATTTCAATCAAGGCAATCTTGGATGTGTCTTTAAAGCTCACTGTAGCTGTTCAATGCACTACCTTGTATAGGCCCAGATGGCCCTCTTTGTCTCAAGTCCAAATGGGACAAATTTAAACAGTAATTACTTTGTAGTTTTGCCCTTTCAGACCATTAACTACAAATCATGTATACAAAGATGCCAATTTTTTTTTCAAAGTAAAGGCATGGCTTACAATTTATTTAATCACTTTCCTACCTTCCAGGCACCAATTACTCCTCGTTGATTTGTTAATGCTATGAAAATCCTTTTGCACAGACTTTAAAGTTGCTTGAAGGTAATCCAGTCACCTATCTAATATGCAACTCCAGAAAAACCAATAACAAAATAGCCTACTATTCACTATAAAAATCTTCATGGACTGCAACCTCATATAATTTGATCAGCTATGTTTTCAGCAAGGACAGGGCAGGACAAATGAATATTCAATAAGAATATTTACCATATTTGCATGGACTCCACACAATGCCACCTACTGATACTGAGGTTATATGTCAAAAGTATAATGTTTAGAAAGTTTAAGTTGGTTCCAGATACCTCTTTATGCAAGGGAGATACGGATTCCTTCAGGCCCAATACTTTGTTTTCTCCTTTTCATCATGGCTGAGCTTTCACAGTTTATCCCACTGAAATAAACTTCCCCAAACAATACTTGTGCCAATTCCTGCCATGTATTGTTCAGCTACTGTTTGTTGTCAGGTACTATTATTATTATTATTAAGTGGATTATATATAATAGTGGATCAATATATTATACACACTGACCTAGGGTGAAGTATTGTTTATTGTTGTTTTTCGGCTTCTTGTGGGCTCTATATTTTTTCTATTCATCTATAATCTGTTTCTACATAACTGGTCCGCATTGGGAATAATAGGCTAATGTTTTCTGTCTCTGGGCACTGTCTCTGTACTAAGTACTGACTTATGGAGGGTGTCCAAGGTTTTGCACAGATACTGTTTGTTTTTTTCTATTTTGTAAGTTCATGAAAATAATCATCATCGTTGAATTTGCTGATTTTCTTGGAGGAAAAACACTTAAAGCATACCGAAGTAGACTATAGAAAACTTTCAAGTTCGCAAATGTCCTTCAGAAAAATGACCTTTTTTCGCTGCAACATTCACAGCACCACTATATGACAAAGTAATGACATTAGGGTAACATTTCAAGAGTATATAGTAGTAAATAAAAATAAAGGGGGGAAAAAAAAAATCAGAGAAGCGTTTGCTTCCGGAGCAGCGTCCCCTGGTCCACCCTGTCGGAGAACAGCGGCATCTGGGAGGGAGGAGAAAAGAAACAAGCCGAGAGAAAACGGAGGGGAGGAGAAAAAAGACAGGAGCGCAGCGAGAAGGACGTGAACACACTGGAGAGGAGGTGAGTGATGTGGTATGCCGAGAATTTTCGCTTGAATACGGGGAGTTGTGGTCGTTGCGGTGCCGTTACAGTTTGCCCTCTCAGCCTTTAAATGACTGGAAACGTGAGTAACTTTCCATATTCTTCTGACGGGCGACGCATTGCTTTGGCATCTGAGGGGCCCGCTGTGTTGCAAACAAGTCGGGGAGGTGGGGGAGAGGAGACTGGGAGGCTGCGGCGGCAGATAGGAAGGGGGGGTATTAACAGCGTGTGTTTCTTTGAGTTTATTGTCACATTTTGTTGTGTCTGTGATGGCCGGTGAATGAGTCCTCGCGTACTGTCAGAGAATGCAGCGGTTGTTTATGAAAACAGCCATTATTATGGGAACGTTGTCGCGAGCCGCCAGCCGTTGACCACCGCTTTGCTTTAAGGTTAGCTACTTTAACTCGACTTGCTTATGTTGGGGATTTAAGAGCGAAAACGCTTGAAAATAGATGCAACCGAGCTGTGAAATAACATTTCTGAAACCTCACCACTCTTAAACTTGAGCTGTCATCATGTTGAGAGGGCCTATCAGCAGGTAAGTGGCTGGTAAACTGACCAGCAGTCGGCCATTCATCAAAAGTTAACCAACCACCAGACAGAAAGAAAAGCCCCAAAACCTTTATATTCAAAAACTACTCGGTTTTGTTCTTTTTACTGTGGTTTTATGTTAATTCATGGCATAATATCTACATTTTTAAACGGTTAAGGTGATGACCTTCCACTACATCTCCACCAGTGAGCTGAAGTTTAGTTGTGCTGTTTCTGACCACTCTTCAAGAATGGACAGATTGGTGACACCAGGATTTGTAACCAGGTAGGGTTTATTAATTAGTGTGATCCAAATAGGCTTGAAAATACTGATTATTTCTATGATATACTAATCTGTTTATTGTTTGTCTAATTGATTGTTCAAACTATAACAAGTCAGTATTTAAACATTGGCTTTTTTTGCTTGATATATGACTTGAAATGATTATTTGCTTTCAAAAGTAGTTGTTCATTCATTTTCTGCCAATTAACCTATTGATGAATTGACTAATTGTTTCAGCACTAGAACCCTGACAGGTCAGTTTAACATATCCTTTGGTTTCTGTCCAGAGATGCTCCAGCTCCTGCCTCATGGCTGTGTCCTCTGCCTTGTTCTATGTTGGTTTCTCTGTTGAGCTATGAGTTAAGTAATAAAGAGGCTGATTGTGAAACAAACAGGCATAAAGGATGGTATTCTCTTGACTTGTGCACATTACATGGAATAGTCTGGGGGCAATAGGCCATGCAGGCCCTAAGGGGATGAGGTTGAGGCTTGTATTGGTGCATGGTGCTGGCTGGACACAGCTAGCTAATCGTTTCCAGCCTTCCTCTGGTAGTTTTTGCCAGGCCTGTGAGATAATATGCTTGCTTGTTTTATACAAACAATGGAGCCACTTAATTGCTTGTTTACGTTTTGTAAGTTAAAGAATCTAGAGAGTGGTGTCAATTAATTTCCTGTTTAATCATTTTGGAGGTGGGGAGGGCAAAGACATGGCTCAGATAGTTTTGGTTTGTGCATAAAGACGTAGAGGAAGAATTATTATTGACTTTTCCTTTCAAAACCATTGACTTCAGGCGAATGCTGACTTTCACAGGGATTGGATTTGTTGTTGTATCGTAACAATGTCAGAATTGTGAGACAGTTCATGTAGTATACTGTACGTGTTTCTGTGGAGGCAGAAGGGACCCTGAAGTTGTTGAC